GGGGGGGGGGGAGAGAGGGAGGGGGGTTTGGAGGATGTGTGAAAGAGACATTATGACAAATTGGAAAAACTTCTGGAGATATATGACGTTTCACCAGTCAGTGAGTGAGTGAGTGTAACTCTGCTGCCCCCTAAAGGTTACAGTGAGAAGAAACGTTCAAACGTCCCTGTTGTTGGATGTTGAAACAGGTTATGGTTTGATTTTTTTTTTTCTATCAGGATTTGAAGCGATTTGTTCTGTTCCCTCTAATGATCGATAGTTTTTACAGGTTTCACTGAGAGAGGAGAAACGTTGAGATAAGAAATGCTGATCTTGTTGCAGGTAGTGGCCACAACAGTGAAACAGTGATTCGTCTTCTTGCCTTACAGCAAGATACTCACTGGTTCAAAGGTTCAATTCCAGGTCGTTCTCTGTGACGTTTGTGTGAAATCGATTCTTTTTTAACCAGAGTCGCCTAAAAGTTTTTATTTTGTGTAAATTTGACATTTTATTCTGACATGGGAGAGAAGTCTCAGTCTCCCCTCGTTGACATGACATGGACAGAGCAACCAAACAGACGGATTTGTTTTCATTACACTAAAGTTTATAAGTTCACTGTGTTAACATCAGTCAGAGCAGACGGTCTGGAGGACCAGACATTGGACCAGACGTTGGACCAGACATTGGACCAGACATTGGACCAGACATTGGACCAGATGTTAGACCAGACATTGGACCAGACATTGGACCAGACACTGGACCAGACACGTCCCCAGTCCCTGAACATTAGAACATTAAAATGTCACGTCCACCGCTCGGAAGACTTTTTTTTTTTTTGTTCACTGTTACCTATAAAAAATGGATTAGCTTCATTTGTAAAGTAATTTCCTCTGAACGTGAGACAAGAAATGAAGAGCACCTGCGTTGAACACACACACACACACACACACGTTCATGTCAGCTCTATCTAAATAAAAAATCTAGGACTTCAGGAATTACTACTTTTTTTTTTTTAGCTGAGACGTGACTTTCCGCGGCAGACACCTTCTAATCAATCGTAATTCTCTCCTCTGACGCCTTTTTGTTAACTATCGACTGGAGGACGAGTCAAACAACGGACGAGTACAATATTGAACTCTGTGATCCATTATCAACATGTGTCGTTGAGGGAATGTGACAAAACTGTGATGTGATCAGATAGGAGTGAAGGCTGAGCGCACACACACACACACACAAACACACACACACACACACGTACTGGTCAGGCTCCTTGAAGCCACGTTCTACAGGTTCCAGCTCAACAGTCATGGAACATATATATCACAGTAGAACAGGCGTCTTCAACCACTGGTTTGGGGACCAGTAGCAGGACGTAGATGATTTGTTTATCCACAATATTTATTTATTTTTTTGTGGTGGTATTTTATTTTGAAAATTAACCACTATTGAATGTTTTACTGAGCCACAGAATAGGTTTGGCCACGACTCCAAATACCAACCTGGAATTTGGGCATGGATTCATGGGCGGGTCTCTTGGCGTGTTCTAAACCTGACGTGTTCTAAACATGACGTGAAGTCGTGTTGAAAAACACATGAATATTATTGTGCGTTCTGTGATTCTTCGTTTAGTAAATGTAGATTTTACAATGAAAATATTTATTGTGCGTTCTGTAAATGTAGATTTTACAATGAAAATATGACACATTTTTCCTGTTTTTGTCACGTACCGTAGACACCTAGTGGCCAGAGTTGCATTACACACACATGCAGTTCTGGGGCTGTCCACCAGGCTTTCCTCCAAGGTCTGCTGTTGTTGTAGTAAATCATTCTTCTGTTGTTGTTTTTTTTTTTCTCTTCACATCCTGAGGAGTGTTTGTCCAAAGTCTTTAAAAGATTTAGGGACTTTCCTGTTGACTTTATTGAAGTTGTTTTTCTTTGACTTCCTCTGATGTGATTCAACTCTGTATCTCTTGATCCCTTTCCTTTGCCCAGAGCCTGAACCCTGTTTCTGTTGACTCCTGCTCACCTTTGTACCTGGATGTTATCATCATCTGTAATAGTCTTTCTATTTTACTCAGTATTTGATATATTTAATTTTTTTCCTCCCCCTTTCCTCGGTCATTGCTGCTGTATTTTTTATTTTTATTTTCTTTATATAAATGTATTTAGAAAAACAAAAATTCTTCCCATCTGTCATTTTTACCCACCTTCTCCTCCACAGTGGGGTTTATTTAGTGTAATTTTATTTAGCAGCAGCAGCAGCTGGGCAGAAATCAGATTAAAGTGACGTTAACTGTTCGCAATTTAAACATTTTCTTCCGTCCAGGGAGCGTGTATAGAGATGGATGTAGCCATCTGCTCACGGCGTTCAGCTGCTTTTACACCGGTGTGAGCGGAGGTCGAAGTGGGAATAACGTTACTTCTACACCCTGTTACTGTACGTAACGTCACTTCACATTTTGCCCGACGTGTTCATGCACTCGTCTAGATCGGAATTCCTCGGCCGTGGAAGCAGCAGAAGTCTAGCCCAATTTTGTAGCCGCAGCGAGTCATTAATCGACCTGAGAAATGAAGGGTTGATTCTGCACACAGCTGCTCTCCACGCCGGACGAGATGCAGGCTAGCTGCAATCCCAAATAAATCTGAGGAAAAGTGTCTGAAGGAGACTTTGGGAAACCTGAAATATCTGCAGTAGAAAAAGAGATATATATATATTAACCAGCACCAGAACTGGACCTCACTGGAGGTCAGAGGTCAGGGACAGTTGTTTGGTTATAGAAGCGGACTTGGGTCCAGTAGGTTTCAGGTTCGAGTCCACCAGCTGCCAAGTTGCCACTGAGTTGCACTGAGAATGGCACCGTCCCCACACACTGCTGCCTGGGTGTTTATGCTGCCCCCTGCTGACTTTGGTGATGGGTTAAAAACAGTGTTTCCCAAACTTTTTTTTTCTGGATAGACATTATTTGTAAACTCCTGGGAAACACGATGCGAGATGACCCAAAAAAAACAAAACAACTCTTGCGACCCACCTGAGGGTCGCGACCCAGTCTTTGGGAAACAGTGGTTTAAAGCAGAGGTGACATTTGGTTGTGTGCAGTGTCACGATGACACAGTGGTTCACGTTCACTTTTCAGAATGACTTGTCATGTGACCGGACAAAAAGGTTCTACCTTAACCTTAGTCTTTAACTGCTCCGTGGTCACATATTTATGGGTGAGATGAGGGTGAGACGAGGGTGAGACGAGGGTGAGACGAGGGTGAGATGAGGGTGAGATGAGGGTGAGATGAGGGTGAGATGAGGGTGACACCAGACAAACTGTGGCTTCCTGCAGCAGCAGCAGCAGCCAATGTCATCACCGTTACCACGGCAACCCCAATCACGATACTCATTCTTCTTGATGGTGAGACAGTGCTGACAGTGTCGCTCTTCATTGTGCCCTCACTACAACACACACTCACACACTCTCACACACACTCTCACACACACCTGGACAAGTGCACAGAGATGTATTGCGTCTCTCATTGTTTCCAATATCTCTGGAGACACTTGTGCCGTCTCTCAAGGGCATCCTTTAAACAACTGTCCTTTTTATGCTTCTTTATTCCCTGCCTCCCCCTCTTCCTCCTCTTCCTCNNNCTACCTCCTTCACAACTGAACACCATCAATCTGGCCCAGTACTTTAACTTTATTTCTCACTCCATTAGTTTCTAGGACACGGTGCAGCAATGGCAAAGAAAAGGGGGGAGGAACGGGGGGAGGGAGGGAGAGGTGGGGATTAAGAGTATATAAAAAAAATGAAAAGAAAGGTTGGCTCCCCAGAGAGATAAAATGTAATTTCACAGTCAACTTGCTGTGATATATTATTTCACAACAATAGGGTGTGGGGCTGATGGGCGTCCTGTTGTGGCTCCTGTACAGAGTCGTTTGAACATCAGTGATGGCTCTCAGGAGGAGGTGGTGTGGAGGGAAACTGTCAGACGTTACACACCATCGTAATATACCACAGATGGTTCTGTCAAATTATAACTCAAAAGTACGGAAAAAAAAATTTAGTTTCCAAATAATGATTCCTCTACCAACCTGCTGGGGGCGCTATAATCACAGTTGCAATACCCTGTTTGAGTTGATTGTGCCATTGTACCCCTCCTATGATGCTGTAAAGACAGACCTTACATTCTGCTTCTCTGGATATTCGTAGAATCTCTACATTCTTTCGTTGCATTACTGCCACCTAGTGGGCTGCTCGCTTACATTTCTTCATGTAGGACTTTTAGAAATTAATCGTTTACATTCTGCAACACACCAAAACCGAGACTTTATTTTACAGTTTATGTTGTTACTGGTTCATTTTTTTATTTTTTAGGAAAATTACTTTTTACTCAAACCTTAAATACACGCAGTTATGATACACAGTCAAAGTAAATAAAGAAATGTAAAGATTTCAGGCCAAGTCAGCAGTGAAACAGCAGATATCAACAAATTTAACCTAGAGAGAGAAGGAAAAAAAAAACATCAAAATTTTTAATATTTTTCTATTTTTTTCCAAGACCAACTTTGCAGTGAAATCTCTTCTAAAAACAAAACTAAACCTCAAATTAAACCTCAATATTTGCAGTAGCTGCACTCCTTGGCAACATGTACATGATATCAAACACACTGAGGCACAAAGAGCTTTTGACTTTGTCTCAAAGATGAGATCACTTCACGTCCATTCAGCCAGTTTTACCAGAGGAGATGAATTTAACTCAGTCGTTGCTGACATTAGAGTCTGAGGTTGCTGCGTGATTTGCCGGGTGTCTCCTCGTCGAGTTTCATTATTTACAGTTTGCTCGTCTTCTGGAACTGAGACACCAGCCCCAGAATCTGCTCCGACGCCACTACGACCTTATTCTGCAGGTACAGAGAGCTGTTCTTGGACGTGTCGTTCAGGAAGTAACGATAGTTCACCATCAGGCCACAGGAGTTGGCGATACCCCGGGGGCTGGTGTCGGCCAGCCAGTTCAGTCGCCACATGGAGGCGCCGTTTTGCAGGTGGAAGTTGGCCACTGGGTTGAGAGCGTAGCCTCGTCTCTTCTCTCCGTAGAGGTACCAGGCGCAGAGACGCATCAGGAGGGGCTCCAGGACGCTGGACAGTTTCTCGGAGCGCAGCCATTCGCTGCTGGTGATCAGCCTACGGAGGGCGTCCAAGGTCTGGGTCGCCGACGTGGAGTCTGTGGCCTTCTCCACCTCCTTCCACTCCTGCTCAGAGAGGAGGTCGGAGCCCCGCCCTTCCTTTCTGCACTGGCTGAGGAGAGCCTGGAGCCAAGAGGAGAAGCCTGGAATCGGTGACAGACTGGAGAACCGGGCCATGTGAGGAAACTCGCTCTGGAGGAGATAAGAAAAAAAAATTTTTCTCAATAGTTAAAATGATTCTATTTTGTTCTTTAACATTGCCGTTTTTCCCAAAGCTGTAAAAATCTTTTAGCTTTTTCCGTTTCACTTTTAGCCACATTTCTCACTAATATTTAGATATTTAATTTTTTTTTAAATTTTATTTAGCCTTTAGTCAATCTGGGATAAGCAAGTTTGAGCTAATTTTGAGCAATGTATAGTTTCTTTTTAGCTTTGGGCTAACTTTTACATATACCTAAGTCAGCATTTAGTTATTCCTTCAGATGATATTAATTATTGCCTTGTTCTTGTTCTATTTTTGTCTGATGTTACAATATATTTCAGATGAGTTCATGGATCTTTTGACTAATTTAACTCCATGGCTGCATTTTTTAAACCTCTTGTTTAAGTATTTTTTTCTAGTACCTGCTCTGTTTTATTATTACTTCTTGGTCTCTTAACTATCTTGTCCGCCGCTAACGTTTCATTATTTCAAACCTTGAGGGACTTCAATAAATTACTTTTTACTTAACTACCTAATTGGAAACTTGATACCGTTTGTCTGAAGAAGTTCAGCATCAAAGGTACGAAAACTATACAGAAAGTTTCTCGCGCGGCACTGAAGGCTCTGACATTTAAAAAAAACTATACAGAAAGTTTCTCGGCGCCAACGTGCCGCGGCACTGAAGGCTCTGACATTTAAAGCACGGAAGGCTGACTATTATACAGTCATTTCTATGCAAACAGTTATAATACTGCCCCTCGGAGGTCAGGAGTTTGACAGCAAAATTGCAGAGCGGTGCCGCACAGTGCACGCAGTTACGCACAATAGCCGGCAGACAATAACTGTGCCTGACCACTTCATGTTTTCTAATTGGCAGCGGGTGTTGCATTTAAAGTAGCTCCACAACGCAACACGACGCCGTGTACATGACCAACGAAAAAAAAAAGGGCACTGAACAACTTTGGATTCTGATTAGCACATCAGTGATACGGGCAAATAACGTAGGTTGAATAAAAATTTTTCAAAAAAAATTTTTTCAAAAAAGAATTTTCAAAAAAAATTTTCAAACAGGGAGAGCACAGGGAGAGATGGAAATCAATGATTCGCTGTGGCAAAGCCGAAAGAAAAAGAAGAAGAAGGTCCTTATTCACCTGGCATTTAATCTGTGTTTGAAGTGAAGTGAAAAAGTTGTCACTCAGATATAAGAGTGTCCCGGTGCTGTTCTGTCAGTGGAAGTGAACGGTACAATCTGTTCTTCTTCTTCTTCCATTCTTTCTGTCTCCTTCTTCTGTCCTCTGCCCTGGGTTCAAGTCTCTGGACCGTGTATAAACTACAAACATCCAAACATCTCCACTTCTTCTTCTTCTTCTTCTTCTTCTTCTTCTTCTTCACCCAACTGCCTTCTCTTTTCATCAGACCTGCTCCTCTTCACAAACACACACACACAGCCAATGAGTTGGCACTTCTGTGTGAGGTTGATAAGCGATGAGGTGATGAAGAATGAAAGGCTCCAGATGAGAGTGGAAGTGTCAGACAGGCCCTAGAGGGACACCTCACTTCCTCTCTGCCTCCATCGGCAACATTGTTTGTTTTGTTTTTTTCCCCTCTTTCTTCTCAATTTTTTTTCTCGCCCTACTTCAAACTCGTGCTCCCAGTTTTCCCTTTCATCCCGCCGTCACCGCCCTGCTTTCACTACTTGCCGTTTTTCGCGTGGTACAAGTGCAAAGTCGACATAATAAAGAAGGTGGAGGTTGCAGGGAAGGTGGGAGACAACTATGAAAAAAAATAGGAAAAAAGAAAAAAAAAGAAGCAGTTCCAGAAGTGCACTCCAGGGTCTAATCGACAAAGACAAGCGAGACCTCGTCCTGCCCTCCCCTTAAATCACATCAATGACCTTTTCTTTCCCACTCTATCATCTATCCGACATCGTAGTGGGCCCTCTGTGGCTGTGCGCCCCCCTCTGTTCACCTTTAAGTCAGAAATTAGGCCTCCGTGGAATACAAGTCCGCGCTCGCTTTTATGTAGCCTCCAGGGCAAAGATTTGCACTTACAACACTGTGGTCAGGGGTTACACTCCCACTAGGGTTATAAAAAAGTGTGCACTCAACGGGAGCAGAGCTTCAACACACACACACACACACATACACACTGTGTTTTGTTCTGGTTGATGTTGTTGACAACAGCACCATCCACTGAGTCAGACTTGGCAAGAGCTGAAGGATTAGTTCTTAGGTGGGTAAAAAAAAAAAAAAAAACTTTGTCAAAATATTTGAGAATACTTGAGCTGCGTGACGTTAATTAAATACACTTAAAAAAAATCCATGCAGTTAAAAAAAAACAGTAAAGTAGATGTTTTTAAAATTATTGAAATATTGAAATCTGTTTAATTAGAGTTTCAAGTCGAGGCAGTGATGCCTTCACTGTCCTGGGAAAAAGTATATTTGTCCGCTAAACTCAGCCTACATTCATCATCTTTTATGTTAAAATTAAGTAATAACTGTACTACTACTAGTAGTACTACTACAATTTTTGCCACATACCAAATAACTTCTTACTTTCCCCAGTCCGAACATGCCTTAAGTAGTTCCTGATACAGAATATTTTTTGGTGATAAGCAGCAGAAGCTCTGGTTTATTATTATTATTAGAGTTTATCGACTCGCTGACTGAGACACGGCGTCTTCTTCCCTTGTTTTCCGACATTTAACATGAGCAGCTCTGATGCTGCATCAAAAGCAACAACAACAAAAAGTGAACTAACTGAGCCCCGTGTCATTGTTTATACAGAAAAATAAACTACCACCTAAAAAGCCTTTCAGCAGTCAAGACTGTACAGATACGTGGAAGACAAGACAAATTAAACCGTTGAAATGTTCTTTTCTTTTTTTTTCTTCTATTTCTATATTCTATGAAGAGCGCGACTCCATCTGTTGTACGCAGCGCCTTTTGATTTTTCCATTCGGCGTACCAATTGTTTAACAAGTGCCGGCTGAAGTGTTGCTGAGCTTATTGAGAGGGATGGATGACATTTCATTACTGCCTTTCTGACAACTGCCGTTATGTACTGTATCTGCGTGTAACCTTTCAGGTGTGTTCAAGGGAACAAAGTGAGAGCTTATGATAAAAAAAAAAAAAAAGTTTTGTCTGTCACGGCAATTTCTCACGGGAATAAAAAGTGCGAAGCAGAGACAAGTGGGTTTTTTTCGACTGGAGCTGTGTGTCTACAGCCGCACCGTGAAAAGGAAAACTATGTTTAGTTCTGATTTGATGGTCAGGCCACACAGTGAGAGAGCGACGAGCGCCGACTGGAGAACTGTTTTGGGTTCAGCCAATAAAATGATTTTGTACGTCTGGATCGGGGGGATCAAACTCATTTTCACCGAGGGCCACATCAGCAAAACAGTTCCCCTGGAAGGACTGGTTGTCAATGGAAGACTGTATAGATTAGGGGTACCCAAACCACGGTACGCGGACCAGTACTAGTCCAAAATTAATTTGCTACTGGGCCGCAGTGGGACAAGGTGAAAAAATGTACTTATATTTTACTAATCCTGTCATATCCATTTACTTTATTTATTTAAAGATATTCTGGCAATATTTTAAAATAAAAAAAGGTCATTCTGACTGAAATTTAATGATCGTAGCGGGCCACATTTGGTCTACAAAATGTAATGATCGTAGCGGGCCACATTTGGTCCCCGGGCCTTGAGTTTGACACGTTTGGTCTAGATGAATGAATGAATGAATGAATGGCTGAAGTAAATAGCTTTGTGGTAAATTGATACAAAAAAAATTGATGTTTTTGTCATTGAAGGTTGAAGACCCCGGCGACAAAAAGTCATGTCTTCGACTTGTTGTCATAGAAGCGTGGATCTTGTCCAAGGACACATTGGCATTAAAACAGTGGCATAGAATAAACAACAACCTCCCAGCCAGAAGACCAGTAACCAATCCAGTGAGCGATCTCTGACTGCACAGGTACCGACTGGTCTGGCTGATACCGTTTGTGGAGAAACCTGAGTCTAACTTGACTGGTCAACCTGCAGGTCTGGTGTAGGTACTGCACGTACAGTAATACTGTGTAGAACAGAGTGTTTTCCTCCTAGAGTGCAAGCAGAAGAACATGGCTGTGACACCAGGAAGGTGAGAGAGGCAGGAGGCGAGCTGCTCTGCAGGAGATACCGCTGCTGTATCGGAGCATGTGTCTTGTGCGCTGTCACGATAAGATGTTATTATCTAGCCATAATAGGACAGGGTGCTCTAAAAGGCTGGCTGATAAAACTGGCTACTTCATGGTTATTGTTTTCAGATAACAGTTGTTTACATAACCTTGTCTCTTTTACTCTCTCCAGAGAGGTCTCAGACGCCTGGATGCAGATGCAGACTCCCATTCAAACTATTTATACGCCTCTCCCCGAGGTAGTTTAAAGATAATAGGGCAGATTCCTCATACGTTACCGCAGATTTATTCAATTCCTGTACGGCAGTGACTTGAAGAGCGTTTCATTATTTTAGCGATTCGTCAGGTTTAATTTCAGACATTAAATCACTGCTCATCGATGCTTCTTTGTTCTGAGAACAAAGGGACGTGGTGTTTTCTTTTGAGCCTTGATAACGTTGCGCTAATTTGAGTTTCGTCCTCTGTTGTTGTTAACGCGCGGCCAAGAGACAAATTCAAATGCCTGGTTCAGATATATAGATGTAATGAGTTATTCAGTTCGTTAATAAAAGTGAATTGCTTTTAGCAGAAAGTGAGTGAGAGCGTATTTGGTAAAATCTAATGAATCATTTCCTAATTAGCTCTGGGGATAATGTAGATCGAGTGGATTACACTTCTGTGCCTCCACTGGCCTGACATAATGACTTACTGACTTAATGACCAAGGTTTTTGACCAATCACAGGTCATTAAACTCAGCTCTTGTTCTAAGAAGCTACATGAATGCTTTGTTTCAGTGAATAAAAATACTGCACTAGAATTGGCAACAGTTGCCAGGTCTGCACAGCAACCCAGTAAAAAAAGACCAAAATCAAACTATAACAAAACGATCTCCAAATATAGATCAACATCACTTTTCTTTGATCTGAATAAAAGCTTGATCTGTGGTTTTCAAGGTGAGGGTTGGGGGCCCCTCAGGTGACCCAGAACTTTGACAAGGAGGACAAATTGATTTCATTTTTCTTTTCTTTAATTGTACCATCACTGACATTTAAAACTTTTAGCTTTACTTCCTCTATTCCGTTAGAAAAGCAGACTAAAAATCTACAGATGGGGGCGCTGCATTTTAAAATTCCAAAACTATAGTATCTATTCTGACCGTTTGTCAAATTTACAACATCACAAAACTTACCTGAAGCTCTCGCACGACCCTCTTGATGAGGTAGTTGCCCAGCTCCACCCCCTGGAGTCCAGCCTGGGTGGAGGAGATGGAGTAGAAGACGGCCGCGTTCACCTTGTTGACATCCTCCTCCACGTCAAGTGTAGCGAACTCACGGACGATGCTCTGACACACACAGCAAACATGACGTCGACATTATTCTCTGGTTGACTATCGCCCTGACATTCCACCCATAGGGGGTGCAGTGAGAAGTCCTGTAACTAAAATAACAGTCTCGGTACCTGTATGTTGTCAGAAATGTCTTCAGTGAGGGCCACGTGTAGAACCACCAGAGGTTCTCCGGGCATGGCGGCGTGGGTGAAGGCATAACATCGGCGATACGGCCCAACTCTGCGCTTAAGGTCAGTCCAGTTTCTTATTGGATGAACTGCCTCGTACCTGAGATGGAGAACATTTTCAAATAAAACCCATACTTATGTTCACAGTGCTCAGTGTTTCTTCTTTTTTTCCATTTGTAATATGCTCTTACTGGCTGATCTTTTGCAGGATCTCACAGGAAGAGTGCCAGGTGATCCTCTCCAGTCTGAGGAGGCCGACAGAAAACCACTCAGACAGCAGGCTCTTCAGCGTTCCATTCAGGTCCTGGGTGGAGGAAGTGGTGAGATATCAAAGACGGTATTCACACTCAGCTGACGGTACAAAACAATTGAATATTGCAATGAAGTAAAAACGGCATGATACAAACTGTAAATGGGATACTGAGCTTATTCTTCCCCACGATTGGGTCTATTTATTACATAAACAAGAGACTGGACTGGAAAGACAAATGAGTCGCTGTGGAGAAAGTCAATTTACAGGAAAAATGTGGAGAATAATTCCTATACGTACATATACATACATGTATACTAGTATAAATAAATATACCTATACATACAGTATATACATATATACAGACGTACAGATCCATACACATACATATAAATAGATATACCTGCACATACAGTATATTGTACATATGAATACATATACCTGCACATACAGTATATACTTATATTTTTTATATATATTAAATATATTAATGTATATATACATACACACAAACATATGTATGTTTATATGTATATAGAAAGCTTCACACACACACATACTGTGCATATATACATAAATGTATATGTATATATACATAAATATATATATACATGTACATATATATACATATACATATAAATATATACATATATACATACATATACATGTATACATACATGCTTTTCCAATTATGATTTTTTTTTTCTTCTAAAGATAGATAGATATAGCCATATATACAATATGGAGGAAACTTCATTAACTTCAAGTCTTCTAAAATACCACCTAAAAACAGCGTCCTCTTTTAGCCTCTTAAATTGAGAGAATTCAAAAGTTCTGTCTTATTACCTGACAGCAACTCAGACCAGCTGGTCGGCGTGGGTTATTAGAAATTCCATACTCATATTTCTCTCACACAGCGTATATAACGTGGGGGCCCGAGAGTCAGTTTAAATGTTTTCAAATTATGAGTAGTGATTTGTTGGAGCCTGCA